CATGATTTTCCGTAATGACTGCCTTAATTAGGATATTATATATATATTCAGAACAAAATATTTGTGTAAACTGAAATGGCTTAATCTGATACTTTACCCCTCAAAACATAGGGATAGACACCAAAATTATTTTGATACCATGTGTAATTATTGAGATAATGACGAAAACAAGATTTTCCATAATGGCCACTTAATTTGCATATTGTGCGGATTGCCCAAGGATGACAGAGTGGCATCATCCAGATTCTTAAAGAGTACACCTCAGAGGTATAGAAACAGCAAAAAAACTTTGTATGGACCGCATTGCACGGTTATCCAAAAAACTGGGGTTTGGCAACCGGACTAAGATTGAAGTTTCAATTTAGAAAAAATAAAATATTTACTATCTCGTTAACTGGTTATCACCGTGAATGGGGTATGGACGTCGTGACCTGTTGGCGACCGTGAAGGGCATTTACTCGGTTTACACTCGGTTTACCTTTCGAAAATTGTGAATCACTTGTTTTAGGGGGATTTTCGACGAAATCAGTGCCACAGTTCGTATTTTAACATTGCGGTCATTCACATCCATATTGCGTTAAAAAAAATCGGAAAATTCCGTCAGTATGACACAGCATTTTGATTGGTTAATGAAAGGTGTGACCTGTCAGGTCAAATCGCGCTGAAAAACATCATAGCAAAAATTGCTTGACATCAAGAGTTTGCGTACTATCGAAAACATCCCAAAATAAAGATAATGATAATGATCTTGCCTTTGACTGTTTCCCCACAGTCCCTAAAATGGCGCAGACAAAAGTTCTTCACAGTTTTATGGTTTCTCATATTAAAATCATCACAACTCTGAAGTTAACCATCCTTTTTTAATTTTATAAATCAAATTTCAATATACACAACAAATACAAATTAGGCTCTTAGTTCCCCTTTAATAAAAATATCAACACAAGAAAAATATATTGTGACAAACTGTATTCCCGACCTGTACTAGCAATACACTTTCATGTTCCATGATTAACACCTGAACAGACCCCATTAATGACGGTAAACTCTTGTGATCTCTCGTGTTCGATGATTAACACTATGACAATCCACACATACTTAACTGAACACTTGCGTGTCAGATGATTAACACCATGACAGAACCCATTACTGATGGTAAAGACGGGTGATCTCTCGTGTTCGGTGTTTAACACTCATAATTAGCAGAACACTATCTTTTTTTTGAAGTGGCAGGAAAACTGGGGTTTTCCTTTTGTATACAAAAATATATTATTATACAGCATTCGTGTTACAGTCAACCTATTATGTGACCACCGATAGAACACACATGAAAAGTTGGATATTTGTGGGACATTTTGATCAATCTCAGCCAAAAAAGTTAAACCAAGTCTCGCCCAATGTAATTTTAGTCTCTTTATCAGCACGCAGATAGTAAAATAACATCGGATGACACAGTTGACTCCTTGCTAACCACAAATTTTGTAACGAAATATTACCAACGCACACGATATTCTGCCCAATTACAGTCAGTCAGACTTCTAGTCCGGACATGAATATTTTGCCCCCGGGGGCTACCGGGCATGCTCCCGGCCGATTAACACTATGTTTGACAATAACCGCAGTGAATATTAAACACATTCCTTTCATCTATACGGCGCATGGGTTTCTTTGTTTTTATGAATACTACTTCGAAAGTGCCTAAATAAAACCCTAAACGAACTACATGTAGTAATGCCAAGTATCTGAAAACAATTGTCATTGTACTCTTTGGCACAATCTTGATTAAGTGATTGTAATCCAATTGCCAAGTCACACTGTTTTGTGGTTTTAATAATTTTACAAATACGAGCTGGCTGTTCCTTGGTAGCGTTGGATTTTTGATGAATTGCTAATGGAACATGTTGTTTAATTCTATCTACCTACATACCTGGTATCACACCGACACATGAATTCATAAATACTCGTACTTTTTTGTGCGGTAGACGCAGAATCTTGTAGGTGGGATTTTACGAGAGGAACATATAATACGATGACTGGCTGTAGAACATTTCAAAATGGTCTATTTTATCTGGTTTTTAGAGCACATAGAAACATTTCCAATTCATGATGATTTGAGATATTTTATTTTTATTAATAAATATAAACCTCCGCAATGGAATATACTCATATCTGTTTCACAAAAATTGTTAAGGTCACGCTCAGAATTTTCTGATCGACACTCAGACTCAGAGTTACTGCGTAAGTTATTAAAACTTCCAATAATATTTTAGTATTTTAAAATATTTATTTCATTTTATAAATCTTAACAAAACAGGTGGCAAAATACAGAGGTTGGGGGCAACAGACCATGGGGCAACAGGCTGGGGGGTAAAAGGCCGGGGGCAATGGGCCATACTGCCACAAATGGAAACTTCAGGTAAATCTTAATAAAACCAAAGTTATGATTTTCAAAAAGGGAACAATGAGAAAGAGAGAGTTATTTCAATTCCAAGAACAAAATATAAGTTGTGTCAATTCTTATATTTATTTAGGTATAACTTTACAATCAAAGTTTCAAGAAACAAGACAATGTTTAACAGACAAAGCTACTAGAGCAATGTATGCACTGTTGAAAGCAATGCCAAGAGAGACTGACTGTAGAACATTTATGCACCTTTTTCCGATATGTATTAAACCAATTTTGTTATATGAATCAACAACTTGGGGACATGACATACAGTACAAGACAATAATAGATGGGACAAAACACCAATTGAACAGTTACATTTGAAATTCTGCAAAAAAATACTAGGTGTGAGTAAATTCTCCTCAAATGCAGCATGCAGAGCTGAACTTGGTAAATTTCCATTAATCATAGATATTCAGAAAAATCTTATTAAATACTGGTATCGTATTAGTGCCTTACCAGACGGTAATATTACAAAACAAGTCTTTGAAGAACAAAAACAACAACATTTAAATTGGTTTACATCAGTAAAAAACATGGTCTCCCAAAATACTACAAACTTGTCCTCGTCTGTCAAACCTCAAAAATTACCACACAGTAAAGTTGGAAGTTGAGTGTAACAAATGATAATAGAAAACTGAGAACGTATATAAAGTTTAAAGACTCATACACTTTTGAATCATATTTGCTCATATGTAATCTGAAACATAAAATCGTATTGACTCGTTTCAAAATAAGCAGTCATGTATTAGAAATTGAGAAGGGTAGACATACCCAACCCAAAATACCTTTAGAAGACAGAATCTGTAAGCAATGTTCCCAGATCAAAATTGAAAATGAAGAACATTTCTTCATGGAATGTCTTAGATACCAAACAGAAAGTCAAAAGTTATTTAATAATATCAATATTCCAGAAGAATTAAAAAGTGATGTCCAGATATTTAAATATATTATGAGTTCAAGAGAAGACGTACTAATAAGACAAGTTGGTGAATACTTATACAAAATATTTGAAATCAGAAATAACAATAACTGACATTTTACTTTTACTTTAGTTTTATATGTATTGTACTTTATTACTAACATTTTATTGCTGTTCAACCAATGGAAATTATTTCTAAGGATGCAATAAATTCATTATTATTATTATTATATTATTATTATTATCACTTTCTTGAATTTACTATTGATGCTTTGAGTAATTCCCACATAATTCTTCATCCTTATAAAAAAAATATGATGTCACTTAACAGTTGATTAGTTTTGGTGAAAATCATTATTTTAGCTTTTTCATCGTTGTGTGTGCGCACTGAGATGTTGGTATAGGTGTCATATTAACTCTATTGCATTTATAATTGTGAAATATGTTCCTTGGATGGACCTATATGAGATTTAAATATTTAGTGAAGATGTTTTGATTTGATAAAGTGTATTTTGTCATTTGGGAATAGAAAAGAATTTTTCTGACATGTAATTCTAGTAGAAAAAGCAGCTACAGTACTTCTAGTATACTCTTTCACTACTGGTATAATGTATTCATTGGAGAAAACCAACCAACCTACAAAGTATATGCAAAAACTTTCTCACTTTCATTTCAAAGTTCTACGATTGAATTAAAATACAGATAAAATTAAAACAATCAATATGACTCAGATAAAGTTTGGAGGAACTATTTTCAATTTTCAACTTTTGTCAGTGATTATTATTATGTTTTTCATGAGATTAGGAACTTGCTATGATTATTTAAACCATGGCTTTCCAATCTGAAAAAATTGCACCAGTGCATAATGGGAAATGTAATTTGAATCATTTGCTTGAAAATATGTCATCATATTTTACAAATATTCATGATTTTATGCAATGGAATGATACAGTTCTCTGTGCATGCGTGAATGCGTGGAGCATTTCTGACCATCAAGTTCAATTTGCATTAAGAAATCTGAAATCTCCATATATTTTTTATACACCAAAAAAAAGAGTTTTAAATTCATAAATTTATTGTTTTTTAGCCATTCACATATTTCTTGATTCAATAATGCATGTAATATTTTCCATACCAAGGTGATTGATTAGGTACAATGTATTACTGGAACTTTAAGCATGTCTTGTGAGCAGGCAGGATGTATCATATTTTAAAAAGCTTTTAAAAAAGTAAAAACCCATTATTATAATATGCTTGTGTTATTATAAATTTCTTTTTCATTTTAAAGGTAGGAGTTTTGTTATGGCACACATCAAGATGGAGGAGAGAAATGATGCCAAAAGATTTGGTGAGATGTTTCAAGAGTTGGTGCGTGAAATCGTGGAACCAGATCTGGAAGATGATGAAATAGGAGACGCAATGAAACGATTTAAACATGTAAATACAATATATGCATGGTACCTCAGATGTGAATATCTTCAACATTTTAACTATATTTCCTGCAATGTACCAGTAGCATGGGCACATTTCAACATAAAGACAAATAACACTTTGTGCCATAATTAATTAAACGGAATGCAGTTTTGCATGTAACATGATTCAGACTAGATCTTGTACTTCCAAATAAAACAGAGGCCCTCCTTTCCTTCATTTTTTTTTTCTGAAGGGCTCTCTAATTCCTATAGTAACCAGATCCTTATTCTATTTTCTTACCAGATCACTAGCATAATTCCTGCTGATTCGTGAGGGTGCCATATTTTTCTACAGCTAACAATAAATGTATGTCCCCCAAATACCCCGATACCTCATATTTTCCTGACTAAATAATTTGCCAACAATAAACTGGCAAGAAATAGAAAAAGAAACATTTTTATTTTTATTCTGCCCACTTCCTCTTAGATCCAAACTCCAAAGTTGACAACTGTGAAATCACCAGTTTGCAAAACACTGCATTGTGGTACATGTATTTCCCAAATAAGGCTTTGAAACCAGGATGAGTATGGGCATTATGTGCAAATTTTGATGATACAAGGACCACCTACATGTATATACCGATAGTGTTATACTATTCATGTGCATTTAGTATTCATAATGGCACAGGAAATTCAATGGTGCTGAGACAGTGCAGAAATAATCTATACAAAAATAAATTTAAATTGAATATCCAGAGTTACAAGGAAACCATAATTGTAATTGCATATTACAGTGTATGACATGGTGGGAGTCTTTTGTAATCTGAGCAGTCACTGGATTGGTGTGGCTTGTAGGCTTGTGCATAAATCGCTTTTGTGTGGACTTTGATTGACAAACCTCATTAATGGTGCTGAACATCACCTTGACCTCATTGTGATGATGCATACATGTATGTTGTGGAATATGGAAAAATGGCTCGAAGCATGTGCACTGCGGACACAATATGCTAATAACTTTAATTAGGTTATGACATAAAAATATCTCATGAATATTATGTTAAAGTTCAATTATTAATAGAAAACATTTACCCGTATCATGAAACACTGAAATCATGTATGTTCGGTCTTGACCCGCACTTTGTCTATTGTGGTTATTTGAAGACTACACTTTTTCTATAATACTAAACTGGTCACCAATTTTAACAAGTGTCTTTACTTTTTACACTGTTGTCGGCGTGAGCGTTGGCAAGCCTAAATAGGTTTTAATTGTATACAGCACTACCAGTGGCTGTTCCCGGCTTCAAGAGTCCAGCGTTTGTAAAAAAAATATTAGTCAGTCAGAATGATCAGAATTTGAAAAAATAACACTCTATCACATATGAAAATATCAAATATTTTCTTGGAGGATTTAATGGCCCTAAAAAGAGGTTTGTTTGGTTCGACTTGTACAAATCTAGTCTGTTTTATTTATTTTTCGTTTTTATTCATCCCTGGAAATGTACGAGCACAAAGGACTTAAAAAATGCTGTCCTGTTAAAGTGTACATATGACAAATTTGATACATGTATGTACTACATTTTGAACATACCTTATGTTGACTTGAACTACAAGTTGTAACGTTGTAGCAGTTATTTCCTTGGATGTGTTCTAATAATTTATGTGATATGATTTAATCAAATTTCTGAATGCATCTTCTTCACAACTTGCCCAAAATGTGTAATGTCCGTACTGTTGTCATCATTGTTGATTGTCGTCCCCACCATTAACTTTCTTCATGTTAATTCTCAATAATTCCCAAAATATCAAAATAAAATATCAAAATAAATGCAGAAATAAAGACTGTTTCCAACTGACTGTTTTTCCAACCAAAAGTTCTGGCCCATTATTGTTTTCAAAATTTGTATGTACTACACATATATATGAAGGTACACAATGTTATCTTAGTGTTAATACAGAGTCAGTTAGTGACCAGTGTGACTAGTTTGTATCCATCCTGCATTCTTATTTGTTATTGGTGATCTGCTCCGCTAGGATTGCCCTTA